CTCCCCCTCCCCCAGACGAATGAAAATAGACTGAACCATCGACAGAACTTGACAATAATCAATCTTAGAGACCAAGCAAGTCAAAATATGCCGATTATACTAGCAGTGCTACTTTTAGAAAAAGTGCAAAAAATATGCTCGTTTTTCCAAATTATGCCAAAAATTATGCTAGCACAATCATGAGGCCCCAGGTGTAAATCTAAACAAACACAACTTTTAGAGTGCGCACAAAAAAGAAAAAAAATTGTTTCCCGGCAGCTTGCGACAGACTAAAAAAACAAAGATATTAGCAAAATGTAATTAAAGCAACAATGTTAATTATCGAAAGAAGGCGAAAAAAATTAAAATTAATTTTCAATTTACTCTAGGCCACTGCTGCAGTTCTCTGTTTTTTAGAGGAAACATTGTCAGTGTTTGCAAACGAAGGCTTTCATATATATCAGTGGCCGATCGCGACTAGCTTATGTTCTATGTTAAACCGAATAATATATAAATGGCTTTTGGTGCTTATTGCGATAATTGACATAACGGGTTTCGCTTTGTCTTTTTCTCTCACTTTGCAGCCTCTTTTCATCGCCTCTATGTCAGTTTAGAGCTAATTATTTTTCCAGCCAATCACAGGCCTTCATGCATCATTTATTTTGTTTATGAGAATCAATAGCTGCTTCCATGGAAATTATAAGTCAGCCGCAGATGGTGGCTTGAAGTGACTAAACACAGTGAAAACAAAAAAATTGGGGGATTAAGATAAGACGACTCGTGAACAAATTGAGAACATCTCGAATCAAAGTAGGAGTTCTGGTAACCAAGAATGATTTAGGGTGAAAGAAAATTACCCGAACAAGTTACAACTAAAATGGCGGAACAACCTACATCGAGTACTACTAATCCACTGCCTCACAGTCGAGGGGGAAGACATCGTTCGCGTAAGCAGCAGAAGCCTTCAACGGCGGAAAGAGAGCAGAAGAAAGCTTCACGATTGCAGGCTTTGGGTCCAACAGAGTCGATAAAGGAAAAGCAGGTTAGCTATTACTTCAATCTGCGCACCTAAAAGGCAAAATGTTTATTACATCCTGAGGTTAGACTAGTGTCACGCTATTAATTTCGTTCATGACTTCTTAGTGCTTTAGGAATGCGAAAGCATTTTCTTTTCTTGTGCCATTCAAGGCTTGCTTTAGAAATCTAATGTCATTGTTTTGACGCTGAGGTATGGACGATCGGTCTGTATTTGAGAGTATTCGCAATGATTCTTAAGCGAACTCTGGAACTTCTGCGCAATGTTATAAAAAACATGTAGGGCTTACAGTAATAAAATTTCTGCTGAAAGCTTTCAGTTGTCTGCGGCGTTAAGGTGTATTGTCGGCATTTTGTAAATCATGCCACAAGGAATGGAGCTTTTCACAGTCGGTAGATTTACGATGAATGATCAAACATGGCACAATTCATTTTAAGTTTCCTCATAGACGTACAATAAGTTATCGGGAGAGATCGTTACAATATGATGTGCCAAACGGTGCAGAGCTGATCTTGAGCAAGAGTTGCAATATGCGGTTTTTAAACCTTCCAAGACTTTATCCACTATCTACTTAGAACTCAAGAGATCGATCGGTTGTACCGGGAAATTTTTAATTTCTGATTTGAAGGTTTCGTTTGACTCTTGGTGTTGCAATGGTCTGCAAGTTGTGTAATGACGTCACATGTTAGAGATTGTTGGAGCAGCTGACGATAAAAGTAGTGTTTGCCAATGGACTCGTGTGATTGTTCGTGGACTCTGAAATATTAACCGAATTTGTACAAGGATCATACATATCTCGTTAATATTTGTATGGCAGAGAAAATAGCAGGGTCGAGGAATAAACAGAATCGAAATTTTAGGATGTTTTTTGAAGGTTTAGTGACATTTTTAAACCTACAACTGCTGTGATAATTGCATATAATTCCGTTTTGAAAATAGTACTACATTAAGATATCATTGCGATCAACCATCTGCTGAGGACCAGCATACAAACTGAACAAGATAGAAATGACAAGTTTTTGACAGTTTGAGGTTACATTGATTTCCACCCATTTATATCTAGAAGCAATTGTATATGCATTAATTTGCACAATGAATTATGCTGATGCAACGAAAAATTTTCAAGGGACTCATAACAAATTCAATATGATTAAAGGTCTGGTACTACAGGGGACGAATGATGAGCAATAAACTCTAAACATAGTTTTTTTGTGCACTTCAAATAGCAAAAGGCAAGGGAGGAGAGAGAAGCAAAGCGGTCTATGATTGATTTTAGACATGAATATGTGATGAGTACAGTTGGCAGTACCCTTGGGTTAACAAATGATGAAGTCACAGAATCTTTACTGGAAGGCAATCAGGTATGTGTATAGTGTGCATTAATTGTGTAACATTTGATATGGCTCTTTGGTTATCTATTAAATAATTATTTGGATGAGACCCATTGACTCTTCAACTCCCAGAGGTGATCAAAAAGTAACTTCTCCCTATAATATCCATACATTATCCAGCAAACAAGTTATGAGAATACTCAAACTTATCAGGTCTATACAGAAGTTGCTATCTAACACCAAGTTCTGGTTACTCACTAAGTAGCAGTTAGAGAGGAGAATTAACAAGAGAGAATTACTGTAACAATCAGATCTTGGGAGTTAAAAAGGTTTAAAGTGGTACCATCAGAATAGCACAAATTTGGTTAAACATGTGTTATGGCATTTTTTTTTTTTTTGAAGATGCAAATGTTGAAATCAAAACCTCAAATTCCCCAGTGACCTTATTGTCACCAGAAATTATACTTTTGTACTCTTCTGACCTTCTTTTTACTTTCATTCTCATATGCCTCCACAAGTATTGAATTCTAATATCATTATCTGTTTATCAATGGAAAGACCTCAGTATATACCAGTATTTAAGTTAGACTGAGACATTACCGTGAAAATGTTTTCACATTGATCATTGGGGCAAACAAAATCTGCTTACAGATTGAAACCATGGAGGATTTTTTCAAGGCAGATGGTCTTTCAAAGATTGTATTTTATTTTCAAGAAGTGGAAAGTTTACCAGATGCGGGTAGGTTATAAGCATGAGATTGCTATATGAAGCAATAAGGAAGGCTTTCTCTAACTTATGATAATTTGTGTTGATTAGTTTTGGTAATCCTTAATTTTCCTAGTTTACTACTGTCTGGTACATATCTTTTTTTTTCTCTATTTTAATGCAGAATTGGCTGATCAATGTAGTTTTTTATTCATTCTCTAATGTTATTGAATTGCACTCCTTTAGTTGCTCTCCAAACTTTCATTTGACAAATTTGACTTTTGAGCTCTCCATTTCTGCACAAATTTCCATGTCATTTGAAGCACTTTTGTAAGGTGATATTGATTTTATGTTGTGGGAACCACAAGTCAATTTTTTTCTGTGAACTACATGAATGTGTTTATGATCAGTCATGGTCTTCATTACCACTACAGTCACACTTGCATCATAATAGTACGTGTACTCATCAGTAGGGCAATGTTCTTCATCATCATCATTTGGGGTTTACCATAACGGCATTTAATGCCGTTATGGTAAACCCCAAGTAATGGATACAGCTGGCTCTCATTGGCTAATGGTTGAAAATGCACTCCACCAAATTAAATTGGCTCTTAAATTGGTTGGATAATTCCAACAAGATAAAATAACAAAAGAAAGATTCTCTGAGAAACCTCATACCTAAACTGAAGGTCATGGAATACAATCTAAGACACAACTCTAGTCAGTGGCTGAAATTAAACAAGGATCAAGTGAAGAACTCCTATTTTTATCTACTAATTTTTAAATATACATGTAACCTAGCTGTGAGAGGGGTATATTTTTTCATCCCATGACTGAATCAATAAAGACAATTATTGTCAGCATAGCAAACTATACAAACTTCAATTTTACTATAATTCTAATTTTGACTCATTTACTTCATTTCAGTTGAACATGTCAGACTAGGACCTGGTGGAGCTCAAGCAACCAACATAAAAACCAAACCCAAAGTGTTTATCACAGACACAAAGGATATGCAGCTCACAGGAGCATGTGTCTTCTTCATCAGAATTAATCCCACAAAAGCTCTTACAATGGCAAACATCAGCCAGGTAATGTTACTGAAATCGGATCATTCCCATTTGGTATTTTTTTTTTTCTGAGGAAGATGTCCATTCAAAAGGAACAGGAGTGCCTTTCCTCTTACACTGTACCAATGGTTTCATTTCTAGAAAGAAAAAAAAATCCATTTTTCTGTATGTATCCATCTGTCCATTTGTTAGTCACTTAATCAAGCAGCTGTTATACTTGTTGGGGTACTGGTTGGGGGGTTTCTAAACTTCACTTTACACCAAAGCCTAAATAAGCTGAATACATTTCAGGTAGATTTTAATTACATGTCTTTTCCTATTGGGTAGTAACTGGGGATCCTGTTATTGAAAGCGTTCTGGTGTCAGAAAAAGTACTAAAATAGCCCATAGGCCTGATGGGAAGAGGTTGGAGACCCCCTCCCCCACCCTCCCCTTGGATCTGCCACTGCTGTTACTTATCAGTTGTATCAGTAAAGAAAAAAAAAATTCAAATTCATTTTTGGTGTCAATGAACCTGCCCCCTCCTCTTCTATTTCCCTTTGTCAGCCAAAAAAAGTATTGAGTGTATACAGACAGTGCTTATGAGTTTTCTAATTATGTTTTAACTCAGGAAACAACGTTTGGTTTGTTGGATACTCGTGGTGTTGGCGTTCTTCAATCAGTTGAGAGATTACTCGCGGATATCTACATTCCTGCCCTATCTAAGAGTTCCAACTGGGGTGATTTATCAGACAAACATGGTGCAAGTGTACGAAACGGATTCATGAACCAACTGGACAATTTTGTGGGTAGGTTGATGAAGGAATAGTTCTGGGTGATCGATGGCGCGTGTAAATGCTATCAGCTGGCATATACCGTCAATTAACCATGACATGAACCCAGCTTTCACTCCGAGCTGATCTTATTTATCTCAGTAGAAATACTCTTTACGATTTGCTAAACATTTCTTTTTGTTACAGTTATCGTTCTGATAATTAATTGTTCATCAAATGATATGCTGTAGGTTATATCTTTCTTTATTCTTGTCGCCTTTTTGCTGGGTTGTGTTTTGGTTGATAGCCATTGTGCAATGGGTTTGAGTAGGTACAATGAATGATGATATGCTGTCATATCACGTAGCACAATTAGCCCGGACTAAAAAGTTGTCGCTTGTTGTTGGGTCAATCAATGAATAAAAGTGTTTGTTCCCTTCGTATTTTTTCAACCAAGTGCACAGCGATTTTGCTGACGATTTTGACGTCATTTCTGTGATTAAGCGCGAATCGGTTAAAATGACATCTGTTTCACAGCTATTTATGGTTGTGAGGTGTTAAATCCGTTATTGTAAGCTAAATAACCCCACTTAAGCAGGTACGGAGAACTAGTTAAGCCCACTTCGATTGGCTTTCAACTCACCACGAAATAATCAATAACACCATTTAACCAATTTCCTTTAAGTTTGTACTTTATCTTAAACTCTTGTTCACTTTATTGTTTAGGTATACTGTCCAGTGCAAAGGCCAGTTTAGATGATGCGGTGAGCCTTAAGGAGTGTGACAGCATTGATCTGACTAGGATAAGTTCTCCTACCGATTACATAGCAGCTGCTAGCTCCAGTGAAACACTTGAGCAGATTGAAGAGATTGTTACGGCTTGGATAAAACAGATCGAGCAGGTACGTGTGTATTCCTGGCAAGTATTTTTCAGAGAAAGATGTGAACTTCTTTCTTGAGGAGCCGGTCTTTTCTAAAAGACTGCTGAAGATTTCCGAAGGGTTCTGACACAGCCTCATCTCTAGTCGGCTCTCTCCCCTCTAACCTTCGAAGTTTCAGGGAAAGTGCAATCAGGTGCTAAGTAACACCCTGTCTCTTCTCGGATCGGTTTAAACACGAAATCGCGCTATAAAAGGAGCCTTAGGTCCCACTGGACCATTTGTCAGTTAACCGTCTTGTGATGTAGAACTCTTAGAGTCAAGTCAGCTTGAGCTACAGCTACTCCAAAGCGGTGAACAGCGGGCGCATTCCTCAAAATTGTTTTATATCTTCATCACAATACAAGAATTTTTGAGATTTGTATTTCCTTTCTCCAATGGAAACTGTCTTTATTTGTGGCGGTAAATTTGAGATCGAAGTA